CCTAAAACCTTGCTATACGTGTTGAAGTCTATTTTTCAGTCGGTAGACTTCGTAATCGACTCGTATAACAATATGATTAAATTCTATAAAAAAATTGATTTGTTTTATTTTTTGTTTTTTTTATGAAAGGTTTATTTTTACAGAATTTATAATTTTAAATTATAGAATTTTTTATATTATTTGACTCACTTTCACAGAAATTTTATAAAATATTTAGGCGAAATTTTTTATAGAAAGGGTTAGTATAGAAAGTTTTATTTAATAATAATTAATTTAAAATAAAGCATAAGACTATATATATATATCAATTGCAGAATATTATAATGAAAATCATTTTTATATTAAATTGAAATTTTATATAACTATATCATACTACTTTATTTTATATTTGTTTACTTATTTCTATATATTACAAAGTAATTAAATTAAATAATTTTATAGAATATAAATGTATTATTAGGTTCAATCAATATTTTCATGCTTAAATAATTTTTTTTTATCAATATATACATGAGTTTTGTCTTAAAATTAAGGTAAATTTTTTAAGATTCTTTTAAAAGTATGAACAAATACATAGTTTTGATAATAAAAATATATGTAAATTTATAAGAAAAAAAATAATTTCTTAAGTTTACAAAAATGAATTTCAGATAACTTTTATGTAAAATTCAAAAAATTATTTTTTTGTAATAAAATAAGATTTTTATTTATGCTTTAATAAAAAGTTTTAATCTTTAATTTTCTTTTTATATTATTCTTTCTAATATTATTTTAAAATACTAATATTTATTCAATTTTTTCATTAGTAGAAGAATTTGTTATCTTTTAATTTTAAAGTATATTTTTTATATTATAATATTATATAATATATGATTTTTACTTTTTTTTGTTTATGACATATTTTTATGATAAGTAAAATACGTTCTAAAGATAAGTTAAGTAAGAAGTTTATTTAATATTATTAGAGTTGATTATTTTTTATATTTAAAAAAAAAATTTAAAAAGAAATTATAATTAAGATATTTTCTACTATACTATTTAAGTAAAAAAAAAAGTAACCTGCAATATATTGTAATATATTCAGAATAAAATATAAAAGAAATAAAAAAATAAGCAAAAATTATTTAATAAATTTATCTTTCAAGAGTTTTTTATTAAAAACTTTTAATTTAAATAATAAGTTTTATTATAACAGCTAGTCCTAATGTTAAAGATGGTTCTCATAATTATTTTTAAAATTTTTAACTAGTTGCAACTTAAGTTGCAACACTTTGAGTTGCAACATTTTATGAATTTTTATATTAAAATAAATTTACAAGGAGTTGCAACTTATCAAGTTGCAACTTCTTAATTATGGTGCTGATCTTTACCTAATATTATTATTAATGATTGTTTATGATCATATACGCAAAGGAAATATTTAGTTGAAAATGAAATGGTTTCAATAGATTCTAGAATCGCAGATATGGATTTACATAATCCAGTTGATAGACCACCACGACAAATTTATGAAGTAATACCTTTCATTACTGCAGAGATCTTTTTAATAGAAATTCTCTAACGAAAGATATTGATGTACAATTTTAAAAAGTTCATTTAGACATTCCATTGGTTTATAATAACTGGTCTTAATGCTATTCATGAAGTTGGTCTTGCTCATGGAATTAATCACGGAAATAATATATCAGATTCATTAAATACTAGGATCTCTGATATTGATTTGTATTAAGGATGGTTTCCATAATTATTTTTAAAATTTTTAACTAATTGCAACTTAAGTTGCAACACTTTAAGTTGCAACTATTTATGAATGTTTATATTAAAATAAATTTTTAAAAAGTTGCAACTTCTTAATTATAGTGCCTATCTTTAATTTGCATAGTCTAGTTGATAAACTATCATAACAATTTTATAGTGTAATACCTTTCGTTACTCCAGAAGTCTTCAATGGAAAGATTCTAACAAAAGAATCTGATATTTACAGTTTTGGCATAATCATATGGATGCTATCAGCTGGTGTATATTCTTATTATGATAGATCTCATAATTTACAACTTGTTCAAGAAATCTGCTTTGGATTAAGACCAAGTATTATAGAAGGAACTTCATCTGTTTATTCTAAATTAATGCTTAAATGCTTAGATGTTAATCCATCAAATAGGCCAATAACATATTAACTTTACGAAGGTTTTGAAGATTAGGTTTCCACCATATGTGATGATTCAAATACGTCTGAATTATCTGATCAATTTGATGTTGCTGAAGAGGCTAAATTTGTAATCAGTTTCTAATAATGATTTATCGAAGCCATTTATACCAGCATTCTGTAAAATCTTTATATCAAATCTTCTCAGTCTTTTTATATAGTAAAATGTAAAAAGGGAACATTTTTAAATTTATACTTGCATTTTATTATCTCATAATTTTGGTAAAAATAGGTCACCTTTCAGATACGATTTTTATTATGCGTTTTTTAATATTAAACATGAATTCAAATAAAAAAAATTGATTTATACATACATTTCATAAAAAAAACCATATATTACTAATTTGAAAGTAAAAATTTATTTTAATTGACAATATATTTTATTAATAAAGAAATCTTCAACTTTATCATATGAATAAGATATACAGTAGCTTACAAAGAAACATAAGTAGAGTTGCTTGCTTTTAAAAGCTTATTTCTCACCAACTACAAATGCTAGAAATATGGTTTTATATTTGTTTTAAACCCTAAACCTAGCTAATATTCAGTAAAAATTTGAAGTGCAATTATTAAGACCAATTTTACGTAATTAGCGATATACAGTGCCCGGCAAGAAGTCACCGGTCACGTGATTATCAATCATTATTTGTTCATCTTTAAAACCTGTTATCTTAGCCATTTTCTTATTAATACACCTCTAGTTTTTGCCACGTATTACTAAAATCTTTCTTATTTAAACATGACTTTTAAAAGAAAAGAACTTTCCATTTTGAACGTAATGAAGTCATTGGTATTTGGAAATGTGAAATAAGCGAAAGAAAGATTAGCGAAGCTTTAAACCATCCCCAAAGTACCATTCATGATGTTATTACTGCTTATAAAA